AAACGATATACGATAGAACTCTAAAGATAATATTGGTATATATGAATAAAAATTACTAGAAGCTTAACTTTGAAATTAAAATATTAGCGAATTATGAATTTGGTAGATTCATATAGTCCGAACAGTTGATAATAATATTTCCATCAATCTAATAAATTGTTTTTTTTTACAGTGAGTTCTAGAATACCATACAATCATAATTAAAATGAAAATTCAGATTTCTTTGATTTATGAATATCGTATACGTTTTCAAAAAACTTTCACGGCGAATAAAATAGCGATCGTTAGCCATCATTTGTACTCGGTTGTAAGTTATTGATTGGAGTCCGATATAAATTGCTGGATTTTGTAACAATTCAGATTCATGAAAAGTTATATGAACATCCACAGGGACAATCAATTCTATTAACATAACATTCACGATTTTCTTTTTTGATGGAATATCGTATACGTTTTCAGAAAACTTTCACGGCGAATAAAATAGCGATCGTTAGCCATCATTTGTACTCGGTTGTAAGTTATTGATTGAAGTCCGATATAAATTGCTGGATTTTGTAACAATTCAGATTCATGAAAAGTTATATGAACATCCACAGGGACAATCAATTCTATTAACATAACATTCACGATTTTCTTTTTTGATGGAATATCGTATACGTTTTCAGAAAACTTTCACGGCGAATAAAATAGCGATCGTTAGCCATCATTTGTACTCGGTTGTAAGTTATTGATTGAAGTCCGATATAAATTGCTGGATTTTGTAACAATTCAGATTCATGAAAAGTTAAATGAATATCCACAGGGACAATCAATTCTATTAACATAACATTCACGATTTTCTTTTTTGATGGAATATCGTATACGTTTTCAGAAAACTTTCACGGCGAATAAAATAGCGATCGTTAGCCATCATTTGTACTCGGTTGTAAGTTATTGATTGAAGTCCGATATAAATTGCTGGATTTTGTAACAATTCAGATTCATGAAAAGTTAAATGAATATCCACAGGGACAATCAATTCTATTAACATAACATTCACGATTTTCTTTTTTGATGGAATATCGTATACGTTTTCAGAAAACTTTCACGGCGAATAAAATAGCGATCGTTAGCCATCATTTGTACTCGGTTGTAAGTTATTGATTGAAGTCCGATATAAATTGCTGGATTTTGTAACAATTCAGATTCATGAAAAGTTATATGAACATCCACAGGGACAATCAATTCTATTAACATAACATTCACGATTTTCTTTTTTGATGGAATATCGTATACGTTTTCAGAAAACTTTCACGGCGAATAAAATAGCGATCGTTAGCCATCATTTGTACTCGGTTGTAAGTTATTGATTGAAGTCCGATATAAATTGCTGGATTTTGTAACAATTCAGATTTATGAAAAGTTATATGAACATCCACAGGGACAATCAATTCTATTAACATAACATTTACGATTTTCTTTTTTTATGGCTTTTCCCATGGTGTCAAATTTTCCCTTCAAAATGAAGAATAACAATTGAAATTATTAAATAAAAAAATTATTAAATAAAAAAATTATAAAAAAAAAATTTTTGTAATTATAAAATATAATATTAATTGATAAGAAAATAAAATTGTTTGACTTTATTTGTCCTATTATTTTATCATGTATTTTATTTAAATAAATTTACAAAAAATTTTGTTCCAAAAGAAACCAATAGATTAAAATTAACTAATATCCTTCAGAAAAAAAAAAAAATAATTAAACGAATTCGATTCATAGTTAACTTAAAGAAAAAATATTAATTTTTTTTATACAAAGAGAATTATGCTTAAGTAATAATACATAATTAAAGTCTATAGAAAGGAACTGATTTATAATATATAAAAAAGATTACATTATTTAAACAGATTATATTAAACTAAAGAAAACAGTATAACTATTGGAATTTTTTATATGACGAACAAAACATTTAGAAATCTAGTCATAATAATTATAAAAAATATATAATTATGCGTACATTGGTTGTTAATAATTATTCATAATATTCATAACATCTCTGTTTTAATATTATTTTGACTTAAGTTTTTTTAATTTATTTTTATCTAAGGCACTTTTATTCTCTTATTTTTATTCAATTATAACTTTATTTGCTTTTAAATTAATATGTTTTCAATTTCTATATTTTTCTCTATTAGCAAATATTTTTATGGTATTTTTTTTATTTCCATATAACATTTTCATATTCAATTGTTTTCAGCTTTTATTTTAAATTACTTTAATTATTTTGATTTTTATTTTGTTTCACATCTGATTTTCAATCAATTTTATTTAAGTTTTTAGTACTACTTTGTTAAGCACTAGTTACCTTTCTATTAAGTATTTATTGTTTTTAAAACTATTTAATTAAATTTATTTTTTATCTAGTGTGTTAATTTTTATTTTTAATTCAAGTCAAATTCTACGAATTGCAATGCAGACCGCAATTTGACTTTCTCTATTTTTCTTCTCTTTATTGCTACAAAATTTGTATTGCCCGTTTTTAGGCGTATTGGTACATTTATTTATTTATATTCATTTTGTAATTACATATATAATTTCTATAATTCTATATATATATATATATATATGTATATATATACTTTGTGTATATGTATTTTTGATGTGTGTTTTCATGCGGTACTTATGGGTCCTTTAGTTTTGTATTTTATTTTTAACTTCAATTAAAAATAATTTATTTTTAATTTACTAAAAAATGATAAACACTTAACTGACACACACTATACAATTGGCTCGACTATTCTATAACACAATGCGTCGTATATGGGGTCAAGAACTATATTGAAACTATACCAAAACCAAATAACTATTGTCAACTACAAAAGTGTCAGATTATTTAAGAATTTAGACAGATTTAAGTCTAAAGACTTGAAGATTGCTTTATAAGTGTACTTTAATTACATACTGAAGAATGAGAAGACTGAAGAAAGCAATTGGAGATAACTGAAGAAAAAATTTAACTGCAAAGATATTAATAGTTATTTTGGTGTGGTGAGATAAGTGTGGTGTATAAGTGCACATATAAAAGAATTGAGCTGGTAGCTTCACTTTAGTGGAGAGAGAGGGAGAAAGAAAAATATAGAAATAAAAAGAGAGAAAAAAATAATGAAAACGCTTGAAAAAAATATTTAAATCTTTGGGCATGAACAGTGACTTCTGTATGATGAGACTAATTTCTATTGACTTAATGGAATAATTTATTATATCATGAAAGTAATCAGTTACGAAGATACGATAGAATGTTGAATTCAATATATTTTACTTGTGTGAAAAGTGTGGTGAATGAACCAATTTGTACAGCGGGATAAATTATTATAATTTAAATCTGTATGCCTTTCATACTGTCATACTGTTGTTAATTAACTTTTTTAACAAATAATCATATATACCGGGTTGTATTACCCGGTATATATGAAAACTACAATAAATAACGATTGTTGCATACAAAATATATTTGAAATTCAATTGAAGATATTGACAGCACATATTTCATTATACTGGAATTATAATATATATTATTGTGTTGATAGATACCATATATATAGGTTTATACAAAACTATATTGTATATATCACGTACTTCATCCGTTAATTAATATATAACAAACAAGGACTCTTATAAAGCATTACAAAGTATAAACATTGATTAAGGAAAATCTTAATTGAAGTATATCTTTAAAACATTTTTTGCTTTAGATCTTTTGGAATTACACTAGTACAAAATATAATGTAAAAATTAAATTAAATTTGTAAATTATCATCACACAAAAAACAAAAAAAATAAAAATGGATTACTTTAAAATAAATTAAGTAAATAACTTGTTATCAATAATTGTTTAAAAGTGCAGTATTCAGTTTTCAGAGTAGTTATTACATATATTGTATATAAGTATTTTATATTAATATACATGCAGTCATGTACATTTATATATATGTAGATTTAATTAAATTCACTTAAAAGCTATAAAAATTATTTAATTACTAATTCAAATATCACGGTTTTACGCTCAAAATTGTAATTATACTTACAAATTGTAAAAAAATTATATACATGTATATATTAAAATATGTATACATATTGTATATTAAAAAGTAATCGATTATTTAAATACAAAATAAATGTTTCAATTAATATTAATAATTAGGTTATAAACATTATAAACATCTCGTTACGTTTACGTTTATAAGTGTTAATATTTTTGCTGTGCCTTTCTAAAATGACACATAATAATATTTAAATAACTATAACTAAATCGCATTCGTAGAGTGTGTAAAAGGTGCAAGTATCGACTGTTTACGTTTTGTTATGGACGCTGCAGTTGTTAACCTAAATTTGGTGTCATGGGGCGACAATTCTACCAAATTTGTTGGATAAACTGGAAATTAGTATAACAGAAAGTGTGATTTTAATCATCTTTTTCCTGTTCTTCAATTTAAATTTAATTATGTACAAAACTAAGTTATTTGCGAGTAGCGAAAAACAATGAAGACACTTACTTCTTCTACACACTGACTGTGTAGAATGGCTGAATGTAAGATATCGATCTTAATAGTTCCTTTAGTTATAATAATTCCTTAGTATAACTAAGTGGAAATCAGTTTATGTATAACAATTTTGGTTAAAAATATATTTGATTTTTTTTTGTCTAGGTGCGCATATAGTAAACCGGCGACGATGTTTGTTGCTTATAATTTTTTTTTAATTTTTCACTAAATCCTATCGACGACAAATACACTGAAAAATTTTTTTTAAATCTATTAATAACCTAAAACTTCTTTACATATAATTTGAAAATTTTAAATATACAAAAATAATTTATGCTTGGTTCATTTGCTCATATCTTTTGCATGTTTGCATGTTTGCATATTTGCTTATACATATTTAAATTTTTTTTATATCGTAAATGAACGATATTCATTTATAATATTTTTTTACTTTTCTTTAAATATACTTAATAGTTTTTACATTAATTTGTTACATCTTTAAAACTTAGGGGATAAACTAATTTAGTAAATATAATACAATTATACACTGTTATACAGGTGTTTACTAACTGTTATACATGTGTTTGCTAACTGTTGTAATGTTATACTTGATGTGTCAGTGATCGAAACAAATGCTCGTAACAAAATGCGAATTCACTTCGCTCAACAAATAAAATCGTATTGACTTAAGTATTTAGTGATAACTTCGGATAGTAGACAAATGCTGAGGCGAAATTGACTTTTTGCTAAATAAAGAAATAATATTTCACTATATTTATATATACATAACATTATATTTTTAAAAGAAAAAAAAATAAAAACTAAATAAAAATTTAATAAATTTTTCCAAATCTCTAAGCTCAACAATTATAATTATTAACTTATCTGAAAACCAAGAAAACTTACATTAAATTTTAATAAGATTAAAAATATTAAACTTTGGGTTAAACAATAAAAAAACTATTTGTTATAATGAACAGTCATTGGTGCGAAATAAAATATTGATTTCACATATGGAAGAAATGATTGATTTCGCTGATAATACCCCAGCATTTCCTCTATTATCGTAGTTGTCAAAGTCACTTCTAATATACATAACTTATATATTGTTAACGCAATAATACAATAAAAATAATAAAAAATAATAGAGTATTTTTTTTAATAATATTTAAAATTCACAAATATGTATACGGAATTGTAGTGTTTGTTTTAAAGGATCAACAATTTATGCTCAGTACATTTTAACAACAATTTGTTAGTATATATATCAAATTTTATTAGTATTGAGTCTATTAGCGTTTATTTATTTAGTTTTAAAAATCTGTTTTACTATTCCTCTTCACTTCTTACTTAATAAGTAGTATCAATTAATGTAGTCTTGTATTTCGATTTGAACGCCAAAAGTTAAAGTCTTCCAACTTTTCGCCAAATTAGTTACTATACGGCGCAACCCTTTCTTGTGCCGTACATGATTTTTAATTCCGGATAAATGATCTTGCGTATTAGTTGATTCGTTTTACCTGCCAACATGGCGCGTCTATTATCCTTTTTCAGTTTTTTGATGCCCGGCTTATGTACAAGGAATGCATTGTCTAGTATATGGAATTCGTAGTCAAGAACGCAAAGTGCATATCCCTAGAATTTAATTAAAAAAATTATAATCGGATTATACATGGAGAAAAACTAGATAGAAAAAAAATATAAACTAAAGGAAACCTATGTCAATTAGTTACTTAATGTTTTCAGACTTCTAGGTTGGGTCTACTCCGTTTCAACTGTAACTTGGCTTACTAGGTAACTAACCGGCAGAACGCTCCCCTCCCAAGAGTACCGCAACAAACAAGCCTCTCAGATTACAATACCAACAGAAATACCAATATAATACAAATTTTAAGTTGACAAATAACCAGTAAATATTTATAAAAATCACAACTCTAGAAGCTAATCTCTGAAATGGTTTTCATAACTCCAAACATACATTCACAGAGATTACATAGATAAATCAGAAAGTTTTGGAACACGAATCTTAATCGAAATTAAATTTAATATGATATGATCACAAGGTTAATTTTTTCTTGCCGATAATGGCGTGTCTTTTTATGACGAAAGAAACTATTTAAAAGTTAGACGGATTCGAATAGCAAAGAAAGGACAAAGACAAAAATTTTTTTACAACGCTGTTTTGAGTATTGCCAAGTACTCTTTATCAGTGGTCTTTGGAAATAATCGAAATTTTATTTAATTAGTTTATAGTCCGTATATAATTTGTTTGGACTGCAAGTGCCAGGCTTAGAACTCGTGCCTGTCAAATTAGAAGCGATGACTAATCATGTTTATCCACAAATAGCCAAGGCTGCACAAACTTTCAATGCTCAAATTCCAGGTTTTTTTGTCATTTATTTTTAATATTATTTTAATATTTTTAATATTTAATATGATCATATTTAATATGATTCTTATGAATATACTTATCCGCGCGATTCGATTTTACAGTCGGTTTTGGTGAGCACTTTTAAAACTACACCTTATATTAATATACCTTACTTCTCAAAATATCGAGGTTTATCGATATTTAACACGCTGTCTACAACTAACTATTATATTCAATTTTCACATTCATTACACAAAAGCCGCCATCTGGTGCAGTCACTAATTTACATATCAGACATATCAGACTTTAAAGTCCGATATCTTGAAAACTGAAAGTGATTGAAAATAACTGTATTCACAAAAATTAGTTGTTGAATAAGTCTGCGCAAAAATCAGAATCGTGGTCAACTTAAATGTTAGAAAATATTGTTGATGTAGCCCGAACAGATCTACAGAGTAGGAGACAGGAAAGAAATCACAAAATATGAATACATGAGTTACGATACGGATTAGAGGGTGCTTGAGCAAGCAAATTATTACGATAAGGAACGGGTGAGGATTTCAAAACGTTTAAGGTGCTGGAAAAAGAGAAAGCCATGGAAGATAACACGACTAACACAAAAGGAGCAGAGCGGGTTAGTATTCAAACAATTCGATTCCATGAATTCGAGCATTCATTTTGAACATCAAAATACTCCAAGCCTCTATTAGCTCAAAGAAAAAAATTTTAAGCTTTTATTGTAAATAAATAAGAATAATATATAAAACCCAGCATGAATAGAAGTTACTAACACTACGTCTAGACCAAACTATAGTTTTGCACTTAAATAGTCTGTACAAAATATGTTCAGACAAGATCAGAAGTACACCAAATATTAGGAATTCTCCAGATGAAGGCAAAGCGAATTTGCCGAAATACGTGTGGAGATATATAAAATAAAACGTATGAAATGAAAGTTAAAATATTAAAAAACAAAACCGACTTTAAAATATTTTCGACGTAACGAAAATCAAAAAATTTAAAACAAAATTATACACCAAATAGTTCGAAATGTAAAACGCCAGACATATGGCCATACAATCATCATTGGTGTGCTCGATTTAATGTTTCCCTTCGATAATACTTTGAAGTATTTAAACAAGCTATAAGAAATAAAATCAGAATCATTTCAAAATCCCGCCTCTTGCTGTGCGTTTGGTTATAGATAAAACTATTACTTCTCATTCATGTCCCACTAAAAAAATCATAATAAATATTCATACTTAAAACCATTATCTTCATTTACGCTTGTTTAAACTTTTCAATGTACCTGTGTCATTTTATCACTCTTTCCCTCCCAACTGAGTCGTTCATCGTAGTGTGGATCAGCATGGGTTCCGATGTATATGGGTTCCCAATGTACAAAGTAACTAGTGCGTTTGCCAATATGGAAAACACTGAGTTCATCTGTTTCGTTTGCAACCATCCATTCTTTCGATTTTGGCACGCCATGGCAGCTGGCACATACGCGTTTATGAAAGGGAATCGCCTTACCAGTGCGCAGCAGTTCCTGCAGCTCAGTTTTATCCCGCGGCACCGCCGAATTTGCTTCGACTTCAAAAATTGAAAGCGGAAAGACTCTGTCGTGAGAAAATTGTTAGCAAACAAATATGGATTTTATAAAGTTTACGAGTAGTACATACCTGGGAGCTTTGCGATGTAAATATGCTTCATTTCGTGCAATCATTTCTAAAAATTTCTTCACTAGTCCTGGATTTGGATATAATTCTATATCGGAAGCGAGTAAGAAATGTGTAAGTGCAGCATCACGAGCGATATTACGACCTACGTTTACAGGATACAAAAGTTTTTTTTGTGTTTTATACAAGTGACCTGCTGTAATGTTGAAGTAGGGTGGAGGCAGAGTGCAGTTATAGCCTACTTTTAAAGCATCCTGTTGCTTGGGAACATTATCCGGAATATGTTTGGTGCTGAAGTATATATGAAATGTGGTATACATGCGAACAAGATCGCTATCGGGTAGACAGTCTCGTAAATATCTTATGGAATCGAGTGTTGGTTGAAAATCCGTACCCGGTGCGTGCATAGCTATACTGACAGGTGCATTCCACCTATAAACCAACATAAATAAATAAATAAATAAATAAAAGAAAAGGATAAAGTTTTTATACAGTAAGCTACACACACCTTTCAAGTAATGGTATTAGGTTATCCAAAAACGTATAGTCCGCATGTGTCGTGTAAGTAATGGATTCGTGGCACTTCAGTTCACCATGATCGGCGCGTACATAGTTTTGTAACACCCAAAAATCGCCGCGTTGTAATGTTTCAGCTTTATACGGACGATCATAACACTTTAATATGGAGCGCAAACGATCGCCAAAGTCTTTTTCATCGCCTGTCACAATGTAGCCATCGGTGTTGGAGTTATTGACAAATGTATTGGATTCGCCCCCTATATTGCCTATCACAGCCGCTGGATCACCCAAATTTGGATCAAGTTCGGCAACTTCTGTTTCTTTGCGTGATTGAGCTACCACTGCGCCAGAAGATTCCTCCACTTTTGCTGGTACTGCTACTGCAGCTGCAGCTCCCTGATTACCGACGTCAATTGGTGCAACTGGTGATTGTGCATCTGGTGGTGATGCCACAGGTTGTAATTTATCTATTGATGTCGTAAGTGCCTCCTGTATAGAAAAAATGTTTATTATTTAATTACATAATATAACAATAATAATGAATCCACTCACATTTTTAGCTATTGGCTCACGTATACTAACATCTCTTAAGATTTGTTGCTGTTGTGTTTGTTGTTGTTGCTCTTGAAGGAAGAATGCGGAACCAGATGTGAAATTGTTACCACCACCGATCATCACATGACTACCAATGTACAATATAACAGCTACGTTGATTAAAATGCTACAGCGTAGTAGCCAATTACGACGAGTGAACATTTTCTGCCCCAATGGCTCGAAACGCATTTTAAGGACGGTGTGAAAATACTTGCTACAAACTGGAATCGTATTTAAGAGACTTCACATGAAACACCAGTTTAAGTTTAATTTCGAATCAAATCTGCTTGCACGAGATGGAAGTCTAAAAAATCGAAAAGCAACATAAATATTGATATTACGATTCATTGTAAATATGAAAATCAATTTCGAATCGGTTGACGTAGATATAACTGGAGTTAAAATTGTTATCTCTTGGAATAGGTTTAAAAGTCAATGCAAATCTAAAATTATCGAGAAATTCTTATAAACAACAGACAACCTCAGACTTCTTGTGTCATACTTAACAGAGATATATTTCATTTAATCGAAGCACTAGCTTTGAAGTTCTACTTAATACTGACGATTAAGTAGACTTATACGTTGATTTTCCAAGAGTGTTGTTATATATACAATTTTATTATCAGATAATAAAGTGTTTTGGGAAGTCTATGAAGTTGTATGCCGAGTATATCACATTTTAAATCCCAATAAAATAAATGTGAAAATTTGTTTTGCATCGCTTAGAATTATCGCCGGGAGGAAATGGGTGGGTAGATATCACTTATGGAATAGATGAGATGATAACATATGTAAGGAAATTAAACCAAATATTGGAAATAATGCAGTTATATCTCCTAATCCCAATAATAGATTTGGTTCACATTTCGAAACAGTTATGGACCCAGATATCCAAACATTGTAGTGGCGCGCTACCTATAATTAAAACACAACAAATTAGTTTAAATGAAATTACCTTTATTGATATTTTATAAATAACTTTAATTTACAGGACAATAACTTGAAATTTTAATTTATTTTTTTCCAAAGAAATCTGTAATGTTTACTTGTTTCGTTTTGGTAGATGCTGTTGGTGGTTTACGTTTGGCGGGCATTTTCGCTGGTGGCTTCAAACGTGGCGATGTTTTTTTGCTAGGTTTGCCCTTTGATTTAACGGTTACCACAAAGTCTTCATCGTCCAAAAATGTTTCCGATTTATTAATCTTGTTGTCTTCTTCTTCAGCAACTTCAATAACATCAATCTTTTCATGTTTTTGTTCGGGTTCGTTATCGCTATCGGAATCAATGACACGACGTCTCTTGTTTGTGGTAGCTTGCTCCTCAGTTTCATTGTCTGAATTGATGATATCCAATTTCATTGCACTGATGACTTCTTCTTCATCAGAGGATTCTAATGACTTCTTTAGTGTAGGTTCACTGGTCGAATCAAAGACATAACTTCTTTTGTTTGTGGTAGCTTGTTTCTCAATTGCTTTGTTTGCATTGATGACTTCTTCTTCATCAGAGGATTCTGACGACTTCTCTAGTGAACCTTCAGTGCAAGATAGCTTCATAATATCATCTGCTTGTTTTGTAGATTTTGTTAAAGTAACTGCACTTTTGCTGTCAGAGCTGCCGCCGCTTTGCTCGCATTTTACTGCCGTTGGTTTAGTTTCAGTTACCGGTTTTGTAGGTGGTTTTCCTCTTGCAGCCGCAGTGAAAAAATTGGATATGGCAATTGGTTGCGATTTGTTAGTATTCTTTTTAGCAACTGCTTTAGTTTTTTTTGGTGAAGATTGAGTAGGCGGTTGCTCAATGTTATCGGACTTAGGTTTCTCTGTTTCTGCTGTTATAATAAGTTCCTTTTCCACAACATTGGCGCTTGCAATCGTAGTAGTTCTTCCTGTAAATGGAACAGCTTTCTTTGCTTTTGTAGATTTCGAAGCAGCTGACGCCGATTTGGCTGTAGTAGTAGCAACCGTGGTATGGGCATTATCATTTAAATGAGAACTGTTTGCATTTCCAGACACACGCTCCTCCATATTATCAATCAATATTAAACATTTTTCGACTGGTTTAAAAATCTGTGCTGGCGTCCTGGCACCGCCAGACACCTCAACTGCATACAATCGGCTTTCAACATTTTTAAGCTTTTCCATCCATTCGCGTAGTTTTGTTTCACCTTTAACGACAGTATAAATTTCATTATCACCTTCCTGTTCAAAGCCTTGTACCAAAAAACGCTTTTCATATTTTGTGCCTTTGTTCTCTTGTTGTTTTAGGTATTCCTCCAACGTTTTGTGCACTTCGTCATACGATAAGTTATATTCTTGCAACAAATCAGTGACGAGTATACGGCTGTCAAAATTGATTAAGCAATCATTCAACGCTTCTGCTAATTTCGTTGCAGCCATTTTATTACAATAATTAATATTTTCAATTAGCAAAAGTTTTCTGCAAAATTATTGTCAACATCAAATTGGCGCACAATCTGCGTGTTTTCGCTCACAAAGACATATCACAATTGAGTGCTGCCATTGATGACATATGTCAAAGTTGTGGAATGTATTTAAATATGTGTGGAAGGTAACAGCGAGCTATGTATTATTTTTCATTGGATGCAAATTCAATTTTAATTTCAATTTGCAAATATTTTTTTTTTTATTTTTATTAAGTCATTATGAATAATTTTGCAGTATAATTATGTTTTCTTTAATATTTTTCATTAATTTATGAAATTTTTTTAATATTTTCATGTTTGCATTTAACCTCTCTCTCTCTACTATTTTCATAGAAATTAAGAAACTAGTTTATGAGAACTATTGAGATTTATCAGCACAATGAAATCGAACATTCGCTATAGACGATGCTACATGTATGTACACCAAGTATACAGACCAAGTACGAGCTTTGCTATACACTTTGAAACACGTTATAATTTTAAAGTACACATGTCTGCAGATAGAAATTTGGTATGCATACTTGAATATACACAGTGCGATTTGGTACCACAGCATACTTGAATATACACAGTGCAATTTGGTAGCACAGCATCGTCTATATCATGCTTAAGCGAGATTTGGCATCACTATTACAAGTACGTGTACATAATACAAGCAAATTACATTTTGTATAAAAATAAATAATTTATATAAATTGAAAAGTAAAATGAATACAAAATTAAAAGGAAAGGTAAAATCTTGAAGATTTCAAAATAAAACCCAGAAATTTTTTCTTTTTTCCCAATTAATGAAATTTTTGAATTTTGTTTGAATTTTTGTTTACATATGTTTTTTGACATATGATTGCAATATGCGTTAGAATTTCCAATGAAGGTTCACAATAGTTCGCTTATTGTGTTGGTAACACTATTTTCTTTACTGAGTGTTTGGGCAGTAAACAACTACTGGTCTAGATACAGAAAATAGTGTTATTGTTTTTCGTTTATTTCGGCTAGTATAGATCAGCATGCGTTTTTTGCCACATTTGCAAACCACCGAAAACGCCTATTGTAAAAAACTTTCATTTGAAGGAAATAAAAATAAATGAATAGAAGAAATTTCTTTTTTTGACTTATTTATGCAAATAATCTTGCTCTCTACAATGTTCGATTTCAAAGAAATTATTTTTAACTATGAAGACATAACATAAAAACCAAATTGTGTTTAATTTTGAGCTACACTAGGCGTATTCGGTGGCTCGCAAGTACGGCAAAAAACAGCAAGTTGTTGGCCTATGCAGGCCTATACTGGCCGCAATGTACGCAAAGCAACAACACTATTTTCTCTACCTCGGCCAGCATAGCTATGCTGGCCAACCACATCGGCCAGTAAAACCTTCATTGTGAACCTTCATTGAAAATTCCAACGAATAGTGCAATCAAATGTCAAAAATTGAGGAAATAAAAATTCAAACAGAATTCAAAAATTTGAAATATCTTGAAAAGTAACGAAAAAATAATAAGAATGGAGAAATCGTAAGTATTAAGCACATTGAATTATTTTTACGTTAGTTATTACCAAGTAACATTTATTTTATTTCATTTAATTTGTAGTTTGCGTAAAAATGCGTAAAAAATTTTTTTATAGAAATACACGCAAGTAAAACGTTGCTTTCTTCTCCCAACATTGACAGTACCTACAAAAATTTACTTATCTTAGTGTTTTATTTTTAAATTTCCAATATTCTTACCATTCCTTTTAATTCCTTGTTCATTTTAATTTTAAAATATTTTTATAAAAATATATTTGATTTATATGCACATATACAAGATTTGCTGTTTGTCAAAACAAAACATTTGACAGATTGCAACAGTGATGCCAATGACTCGCGTGGCCAACATAGGCCAACATGCATTTTTTGCCGTACTTGCGAGCCACCGAAAAAGCCTACTATATCCAAAATCAATTATGGAGAAGGCAAAAATTTCAAAAAATATTTATTTTATCTAAAGCCGTATTTTTTTCTTTCAGAGTAGCAAAAAAATACTCGCAACTTACGAAAGAAAACATGTGAAGCAACAACAATGTTAGGTTTTACTCAAAAAAATTTTAAATCTCAAGTTTCAGTTGCAGCAAAATTCAAAAATCAGTCTATTGTGAATCTTCATTGGATATATGTTGCAAAATTCCAGTCATTCGCTAAAGTCATATGAGCATTTTTCATCATATTTATCATTCAATAATAATTTTAAATACATTAATAAATTAATTTAAATACATACCTAAAATAAAAATGCTTACAATATTCATATTTCATATTATACACAACAAACAAAATATGTCAAGAAAAAGCATTTGACATATTTAAAAAGTGATGCCAACTTTTTTAACCAGACTTAATGTTGTTCTTTTACAACTCTGAAAGAAGAAATTACAGCTTTGGTAAGGTTTTTCCAATAGCTGCATTTCAGCAAACAATGATCTGGGTCGTCTTTGCTGAAACGATACGATAAAATTTCCGTTGCATAGACAGCACATATCTTAAAATAAGTACTCTACACGATAGCAAGAAGGCTTATTTCAGTAGGAAGCATAATTATAACTTAATCTTGCACGCAGTTTACGATGAAAACGGTGTTTTTATAGATGTGCATGTTGGAGAGCCTGGTTCTTTACACAACAGCCGAGTTTTGCGTACATCTCAACTGTATAGTAAAAATTACTTCCAAACAAATTTCCTAGCTGTTCTTCTCTTTCAGGAGGTTCAGTATATCCTAATTTAAATCGGCTTGTTAGTCCATTCAAATATAATGTTTCTTTGTCGTCTGCTGAAAGAGAATTTAATGAAAAGACACTTTTGGTCGCATGAAAACAAGGTTTCGTCTGCTATTGCATTTTATGGAACAACAAAGAACACCTTCACTAACAAATTTAATTATGTGCGGATCATATTGCATAATATATGATGTATACAGAATGATTTCATTATAGAGAGATTCAGAATGAATGAACGGAGAAGACATTATAAATGCTCTATATCTCTGTCTTTGCAGACACTTAGTGTTTCGAATGATCCTTTTCGTGAAAGGTTTTTTAAATATCAAATGGCAAAAAAATCAGTGCTGTATTCTCTTCCTATCCCAGATAAAAGCTGACAGTCACAAACAATAAGACTAAACGTGTCATCGACTTTTACACGGTACCAACAATTTGTCTCCCCAAACAGGCTCATTTTTATAGTAGCAGGTGAGATATATATAAACAATTTAACAACATCAAGTTATACACTAATACCGGACCCTATATATGTGGTATAGCAATGACTAAAGACAAACCTATGCATAAGTTGTATACATAGCTATATACTATGTACTTATTTCTAAAGAAATGTCAAACAATGTAGACATATAGACATATAGCTTATATAGACATTTGGAAATTTCCGGCTAATAAAAAATATTTAATTTCAATATATTCTGCTTGTACCGATATTACTGGGTCATGGTGTTTATTCATACGATTTGAATAGGAAGCAAACAGCAAAGATATGTCAAGTCATAAAGATATGATTTTATGACTTGTGAAAATTCCTCGCACGCTACTTCTCGTAAAAAGAATGTGTGACCGACATGCGATTTGTAGTCCAATTGTTGAACTTTTTCCGAATATATAGAAATTCAGAAGATTTTTGAAAAAGAATTCGGAAATAATTTAACATTCCACTAATTTGTATTTACTTACTCCGAAATTGTTTACATCAAGCTGTCGCGGAATTGAAATCTTGAGATACTTCTTTATATGTAGTTGATTTTAATATCCATTGACAGTTGAGTAACTCTTATTGACACCATTGGCGGTACTTTGCCGAGAATATGCAGGACTCTTACATTAAACTCCCTCCACCTGAATAACACCTTTCCCAAGCATTTGTTCAAGTAAAATTGTATACAAATTCAGTTTCTATGCAGCAGTAACGAGCTGAAGAGCACATGAGAAAAGTTTGCTCCTTCTGCCTGTGCCTATTCCTGTGCCAGTCCCGGTGCCAATCGCACACGTAACTTAAGTTGGTTTGCTTGTAGAAAGCTCATGCATTGTAGAAGGCATGCAACAACTTGAAGAACTGCAAGAAGCACCGACACGACGCCACATCAAGTGTTTTACGTGGAAACAAAAGAAAAGGCGGGCTGAAGGAATTAAAAGTGCTCAAGTATGCAGCCAAAGGTGGTGTACATGGCACAGGCGGCTCATGGCTCGGCCGTGTTAGTTGGTCTATTGACAGGGCACATAGGTAGAGTGCACTTAACTCTGAAACTATGGACGAAGTAGTTAAGGGGGTCGTAAAATTAATACATAAAATAAAGAAAAAATATTTAATTTTGAGCTAAAGAACGAAGACACTTGAAAAAATTATGGGTTAAGACATTTCGAGAGCTTCAAATTAAAACACAATGAGGATCTCGCAAAGAAGGGCAGAGTAAGTTATTGCGCTGCTTAATGGGTTTTAGGAAATTGTATTACTGGTTTCATGAGGTGATTGTTGAGGAACTTCTCTTTGTATTTGGGTATAGTACGATGCATACAATTAAATATACGTTACTGAAACAAAGTTCATTATGTGTATTATAATCAAACACACATTTTCCCCATGCTGGCGTTCATGAATGACAGCTCAGCATACTTACACTGGAAAAAGGAGTTCTTTTGCCAACAGTCACTTTTCAAGATGTATTGGTAATGTTTTCGAAAATTTTTTATTTTTAGAAAAGTTTAAGATTATAACAATACTTTAGTTTATACTTCAATTAACAAACAAATTTAATACTATAACATGCTGGAGCTAAAATAAGTTCAAGACAAATAGTTAGGATTGCGTCTTTGAAATTTAACCAAAATATTCACAAACTTTATGGAAGATGGTGGCATGCTAAAATGGGTTTCGTCTGTTTCTAGCGACCAGCCAGCACATCTTTTATTGAGTTGGATATAGTCTCATTTATCAACATACATAAACTTACTAGTAAATAAGCGCTCACTCTTACGATACTCAAGTTAATATTTACATATACAATAGTTATCCTATAACTATAGCGATAGTTCCATACATAACTACTACCCTAGATTGTAAGGCGGAAAAATTAAAGTATTTGGTAATTTGGTAGTTGC